GTGTGTGTGTGTGTGTGTGTGTGTGTGTGTGTGTGTGTGTGTGTGTGTGTGTGATAGAGGGGCAATAGGAGAAGAGTCTAGCATTGTGCACTCCATTCCAGCTCATCAATGGTTCCCATGCAGCATCAGTCCCTCTGGTGAGCTCTTAGTGTTCCTGAGGAAATACTGTTCCTACTTTTTCTGAATAATTTTTAGAGCCTGCATGTAGGTTCAGTAGCAAAATGGAAGCTGGAGTTGAAGTCTTGAATTCTAAAGCTAATCACTGATGAGAAAACTTGTATCGTGGATTATGTAAATTAGATCATAATATAAAGACATTAATTTTCAGTAGAGTAAAATCAAAGTTATTTGCACCATGGGCTGGGAATGTAGTTCAGTGGTAGAGTACATGCTTAGCTTGGGTTTAAAATCTGAGTTCAATTGCCAGAACCCAAAAGCAAAATTAAACAAACTAAAAAAGTAAATTGATTCAGGCCTATAATTAAGTAAAGATTTTTAAGTCAGCCTAAAACTTGTATGAAAACCAGAACACATGAAAGAAATTAGTTATGCCTGGGCTGAACGTTCACATAAATGAATCCAAAGTGTTGAAAGGGTAGCTATGAGGTTAGGCCATGATCCATCACAGGAGTGGCTGTATCCCTGAAGTTATGGAAACTGAACTGCATGGAAACTCAAGGTGCCAATGCTTTCACTCTGACAGCCCCATTCTTGCAAAAGAATTACAACCAGTCACACTGCCAGAACATGCCTTTGAGAATGGCCATTGTGTTCCAGAGATTAATCATAGTTCCTGAAGAAGTACAAAGTTATAGATGGGTGATCTTCCTCACTAGATTTCTTTACAAACTGCTACAGTAGCAATTGAAATGGTATCTACTGTATTACATCTCAATATATTGTATCTTGCCTTAAGATAAACTGATGTATGTTATTTTCTGTAACTCTCAATGTGGTATTTAATAATGAAATTATTTAAATTATAGCCATGTATAGAAACTGATATCTTAAAATATACTGCTTTTTTTTTCATGGATCCTCATAGGATGATAGGTTTATGTACTTTCATTGAATTTTTGACGTATTATATCTTCATCATTTATACCAATGAGATAAAATTTTATATGTTTTGATTATTTAGAAAAATAAGACAAAATGCTTAGTCCTGAATAGTCAGACTAAGCAGTGACAATATTAAATTTTAAGCTTATTTACAAGGTCTGAATTATCCTCTCATATCTCCATGCCAATTCTTGAACTTTTCAACTGAAATATAGTCTTTGGTCCTTTATTAAACCTAACTGTTTTCAAAAATATACCATTCGTGCCACGTAAAGTCCATCAGCAGTATCTATTTTCTGCTCATTTCTGTACTCCTGCTACAACATGCATACTTTATCCCCAATTTTATGAGCTAAAACAAGCAAAAATAAAAGAAATACCTCCAGATTTTATTAAAGTTTATTTAATTTTATACCACATTTTATAGAATCTCAGAAATTTTACAATACAAATGAAGATGCTAGTGTGTTTTTAACATTTTAAATAAAAACATCTTTACTTATTAAACCTGGAAAGATAACTCGGCCAGGAGCACTCGCTGCTCTTGCAGAAGACCCAGGTTCAGTTCCCAGCATCCACCTGTAGGCATCTCACAGTCATCTAGCATTAGGGGATCAGAACCTCTCTTCTGGCCTTTGTGAGCATCAGGCACACACACACAGCACATGCACAAATTCAGGAAAACAGACACACAAGAAAAAAAGCATCTTTAAATTGTTCCTTTTTTAGTAAACTATTCAGGTTCTCCATTACTCTTGAGTTTCTTAATGAATTTAGTCATTTAAAATAGTAACTTAAAAAACCCTAAAATGTGAAAAGTTTCTAGTACTAAATACTTCTCTGGCTTCTTATATAACCCAAGTTAAAAAAAAAAAAAAAAGACTACAAGCCATACAAGAATTTACAATGCAGTCATATTTTATTGTATGAACACATACACAGACACTCTCGCGCACACACACTCTCTCTCTCTCTCACACACACACACACACACACACAGGGAGGGGGCAGAAATTGATGTCTCCCACTGATTGTAATTGTAGTTCTGTGTCTTTTAAAATGTAGATGAGAAAAAGCCACTAAGTTGGTTCCATAATCAGCTGTGCTGTGGTAAGCAAAACACCTTTAGAAAAGAATATAAAGAGTCTTGGCTCTGTTGCTGTCCTTGTGAAGCTCCCATCACCTCCAGGTCTTTCTGTCTCCCTCTTCTTTCATAAGATTCCCTGCACTCTGCCCAAATTTTGGCTGAGTCTCATCATCTGCTTTGATGGGCCCAGGGGTTTTTCTGAGACTGATACTCCAACCAAGAACCATGCATGGATATAACCTAGAACCCCTGCACAGATGTAACCCATGGCAGCTCAGTGTCCAAATGAGTTCCCTAGTAAGGGAAAAAGGGGCTGTCTCTGACATGAATTCAGTGGTTGCTTCTTTGACCACCATCCCCTGGGGAGGGGAAAGTAGCCTTACCAGGCCACAGAGGAAGACAATGCAGCTAGTCCTGATGAGACCTGATAGACAAGGGTCAGATGGAAGGGGAAGAAGACCTCCCCTATCAGTGGACTTGGAAAAGGGCATGGGAGGAGATGAGGGAGGGAGAGTGGGATTGGGAGGGAATGCAGGAGGGGGGCTACAGCTGGAATACAAAGTGAATAAACTGTAATTAATACAAAAAAAATAAAATTAAAAAAAAGGAATATAAAGAGTCTCCCTCCAAGACAGGAGATCCAAAAGGAGACCAACAGAGCCAAAAAACTGGGCCCTGGGGACCCTGCAGAAAATTATACCCCAACCAAGGACCATGCATGTAGAGGACCTAAAACCCCGGCTCAGATGTAGCACATAGACTCAGTCTCCAAGGGGGTTCCCTAGTAAGGGAAGCAGGGACTTTCTCTAGCATGAACATATGCAGCAGGCTTTCTGATTACCTTCCCCTGTGGGGGGTGCAGCCAACCCTGATGAGACCTGATAGGCTAGGGTTAGATAGAAGGGAAGGAGGTCCTCCCCTATCAGTGGACTAGGGGAGGGGCATAGGGGGAGAAGAGGGAGGGAGGGTGAGATTGGAGGGCTTGAGGGAGGGGGTCACAGCCAGGATAAAAATTGAATGAATGATAATAATAAAATAAATATTTTAAAAAAGGAGAGGGAAGTCTCCCTCCCTTTATGGTGGTGCCTTGCTCTCCTTGTAAGGACTGTGAGGGTAACGAAGATGCCCTCTTTCTCCAGGCAAGCCTTTTCAGAGTTTGGGGTGGTTGTTTTAGCATTATAGTTACACAGTTGCTCCCAGTCCGTGCTCCTGCTGATATGCCCAGAAATGATTTTCCTCTCAAACCCAATTTCTATTTTCAAACATGATTCGAAAAGACTTCAAGGTTGTGACAAAAGATGAAATTACTATAGAGTAAAGTTAGAAATAAAAAGTTAGCAATTTGTTTATCAAATGCAGTCCAAGAACAGATGAAGCAAGCAAATAGCTCAGGAGGCAGTCAATTGTTTCTTCGATTCCGCCCAAAAAAAAAAAAAAAATGTCAAAGTATATTATTATAGTTTCCAGGCAGGAGCAAATATAGAGAAAAATTTCTATCTCTCATTCTTAGAAGACTGTGGCATAGAGTTTGAGATATTTTAAAAGGTTTTATATTAATTATAACAGTCAATTTTCTCTTTGATTTGAATTGGTTTCTTAATGAAGCGTTTTAATTTAAACCAGCTTCATACAGGGCTTAGCTGTCAGCACAAACTCAAGAACTTACAATTTACCATCCAGTAAATGCAGACTTTTCTTACGTTCTTTGTCATATATTGTTCACATTTATGTGTTTTGTTTTAAATACTCACATACTGTAGATTTAAAAGTGTCCAGTTTTAGAATGTGATAGTAGTTAATGATTGTCTGTCTGTTTTTCTCCCAGTCTGTTCCCAGTATTCTAGAGGAGTGTTTGCCATTTTTGGACTCTATGACAAGAGGTCAGTGCACACCTTGACCTCGTTCTGCAGTGCCCTGCACATCTCCCTCATCACGCCAAGCTTCCCCACTGAAGGGGAGAGCCAGTTCGTGCTGCAGCTGCGGCCTTCGCTGAGAGGTGCACTCCTGAGCCTTCTGGATCACTACGAATGGAACTGTTTTGTCTTCCTGTATGATACAGACAGGGGTGAGTCCTACCCTTCTCCATTCAGAGAGCGCTAACCAGTCTGAGATGTTTGTTTCATTTATGACTTATCAAAAAAGATTTTGATCCTTAATGCTTCTAAAACTAGAGAATAATTTGGGTATATTATCAATGTTTTCATTTCCACCCTAGAAGAAGTCTCTAATTTAAAATGGTTCTAGCCTGGCATGATGACTTTCCCCTCTGATCCCAGAACTTGAAAGGCAAAGGCAAAGGCAGAGGCAGGTAAATCTCCACGAGTTTCAGGCCAGCCTAGTCTAAGTAACAAGTTCCAGGCCAGCTAGAGCTATACAGTGAGACCATCTCTAAACAAAACAAGTAGCTTCTTATTTCTGAGCAAACTGGCTCTGCAATTATGTGAAAATTGGGCCATGGGGTGAGTGGGCGGGAGAATTAGGTGCTTTTTTCTCCAGCAGCGGTAGTTGTCCCAGAACACTCTGATTTCTGGTCCACCAAACTGTGTGCAAACATATCAACTGAAGGACCCTATCACTAATTCTCCAGCAGATTCCAGTGGAGCGTTCGCTAGATCCATCAGTCCCGTGGCCGTGTACCTAAACAACGCCTCAGATCTCAAGGCTGAAACTCAATTCCTAGGAGATAGCAACCTGTCTCAAATGCTGCCCACAACCTGGAGGTTTTTATCTGTGTGTCTAACCAGCCAGCTTTGACTACATATATCCCATGCCACACATCAAGGTTCTGGTGACTGCCCACCTTTGCCTTATTAACTAACAAGATCAAATCACGGATCTCAAAATCACCTTGCTTAGATCTTACATACTCTAGCATTATATAATTGTTCCAAGGAGAGATATGTTTGGCACAGTATAGAGGGGAAATTTTTTTCCTTTGGCTTCTTTTGGCATGCCTTCTTTGGCCGGTTTCATTTCTGGTTAAGTATATTTGCAGAAATGTTTTCAGCCTCGTTGCATAACATATTTTCAGGGATCTAGCAAATGATATTGTGGATGCTATTGTGTGCCTGTGTCCCATCACAAAACAGGTTGGTGCGAGAGGTCATGACGGGATGCACAAAAGAATTTGTGTAGGTAAAGGATTGTGTCATGTTGTCCTTATGCCTACTTTAAGGGCTCTTACTATGTACGTGTTTTTACTTTTAAAACATGCATAAAAACATTAAGTGCTAATTTAAATGTAATGTGGGGGGATGGTATAACAGTTGACGCTAAGGAAATTAACATATTACTATCACCTCAGATTAAAGTGGAAGTACGGATGGCAGCTTCTTTGAAACTTCTTCCAAGGAGAGTTTAAAGGGTATAAGAAAAGATGTCTTGAAAGGGGGACGCGGAACTTTCAGTGTCTACAGTCCATGTATAGGTACCAGCCTCTTCTTAATCAGCTCAGTCCTTAGTTACTACTTGCTGCACTTGCTAACATTCTGATATCCACTTATTCTCACAATCCTTTTCAGACAGGACTAGAACGGCATAGGTCAAGGATAGCGTGCCCAATAAAGTAACCCTGATCTAATCCAGAGAGGAATGATCAATGTCTGTAATGTCTCTTCTTTGTCGTCTCCATATATAGTTGCTAATTACCACATTTGCCAACATTTTGATTTCTGCCATAGCTGTCCTCCTCAACTCCCCAACACCATTTTATAAATAAAATTAGGAACAATGATAAAACTAAGAAAATTGACAAGTGAAGTCAAACAAACTAAGAATCTTTCAGAGTCTCTGTAAGCATATTATAAGTAAAGATAAATACTTTATCTTTAATGCTTCACTGAAATATACCCTAGACCAGGAAAAGAAAACTTTCCTCAAAACTCGTAAAGCCAACACAAAACTCTTCTGAAGTCTGAAATTTTCTTTTAGTGAATCTCCCATGCAAACACTCAAGCAATTATCTCTGTTATAATGAAATTATCCGAACTGACCATATATTTTTATATTAATCCAAACACATTTACTTATACACATTAAGTACATCTATGGCTAGACTAAAAGGTCAAATACATATATGATGCCAGTTGCCAAGTCTGAAGATAATCCATTCCAGTGGGAGGAAGATAATCTTAAGGATAACTTCACCTTCCTGCTTGACTGAGGACAGCGAGGTAGCTGAGAAAGATGAGGGTATGAAAACAGCCACAGAGAGTCTTTTAACTGAGGTGGGAACAGCAGGCAGAAATGGGCAAGGAGCTTTGGTTTTTTCATAGCAGAACTATTACATGCTGTGATGTGCACTTCCACATGCTGGTATCTCCTTGGGATAAGAAAAGAGAACAATAGGTTGAGAGTAAATAGGATAAAGCCACATCAGTGAGCTTCCCTCCTATGGACATGCTTTTGGCTACATTCTAAGAGGTAGTGAGAAGATAGAAAGAAGGACCATGCAATGCGATCTTCTGAACTAGATGTAGTATTGTAATCATGAACTCAGTAATCAGAGATGCTTGCACTGCATCTGCCAAGAATGAGTGTATCAACAGTCAGGCCCGGACAGACGGTAGAGAGAGCCCTGCCTCCGCTGATAAAGCATTAGCTACTGATGGATTCAGTGAATAACTAAATTATTGCCTTGAATTATGTACCTATTGATAACCCCACAGGACTGTAATGGACACTTCCAAATAAATAATCACACAGATACACCTGCCTAAACCAAACAGGTCAGAAAACAAAGCCAAAGTCATGAGCTTTGAAAAGGGATGGGAGGGGATAAGGAGGTCTGACTGAGATAAAGAGGGATTTAAGCAGAATGTAATCGGAACACATCATATACCTGTATTAAATTATCAAACAATAAAATTAATGAACTAGTGCAATGAAAAAAACTGGCAGGTTTGAAGTTAGGTCTTGAAAGTTAACCTGAATGAGTGCTATAATCTAGCAAACTCTGTCAAAGAAGGGTATTGTGCAAAGAACAATGCACAAAAGCAAGGATGGTTACAGAAAAAAGAAAACAGAGCAAACAGCAAAATAAGCTGTCAGTGGAGAGAAAGTCCTGACGATGAATAGATGCCTTCAGGGAATTTTTGGTTCAGGCAGCCTTCTAAACATTTGCTGGCATAGTGTGGCCTAAATGAGGGAAAAGGGGCAGTACATATCATTCCCTATGAATGGCTCTGCTGTGTCAGGCTAGCTGGCATGTGCCTTAGTCACTATTCTTTTGCTGTGAAGAGCCACCATGACCAAGGCAACTCTTATAAAAGAAAGCATTTAACTGGAGGTTGACTTACATTTTCAGAAGCTTAGTCCATTATCACCATCATGACTGGGAGCACGGCAACACACACGGCACTGGAGAAGTAGCTAAAACATTCACTTCCTGATCCACAGTCAGGCAGAGGGAGAGAGAAAGACTGGCATGGCCCCCAGCGATACACTTCCTCTGATAAGAGCACACCTATACACCTATTCCAATATGGCCACACCTAGATGACCGGGGGGGGGGGGGGGGAGATACCCATTGTTTACTGAAAGCTCACCTGGTGGCTGTTCTTTTCCTGTTACTTTTGAACTGTCAGGATTCAGTCACTTAACAGGAAATAACAGCAGACAGATCTGACTAAGGCCTTTGACTTTCTTCACTGGGAAAGTTCATGTCACCATGGCCCCTGGATATTCAAAATCACAAAATGCAACTGCAAAGTGAGTGCATAGAAATCTCAGGCCTGATTTCTCCCATGTTGATTACGTTATAGCGTGTGTGTGTGTGTGTGTAATTTGTGTGAGGAATTTTTCCTCTTTTTTCCACAATTTATTTATTACATGTCCATATGAAACCCCATCCCTCAACTCCTGCCAGTCCCACCCTCCCTCTTTCTTCCCTCCTATCCCCTTCCCCTAGTCCACTGAAAGAGGGAGTTCTCCTCCGCTGCCATCTGCCCATACCTTATCAAGTCTCATCAGAACTCCCTGGATCCTCTTTCTCTGTGGGCTGGCAAGACCTCATCGCCAGGGGCAAGTGATCAAAGAGAAGGCAACCAAGTTCATGACAAAGGCAGCCCCTGCTCCCTTTACTTAAGAACCCACCTAAAGACTGAGCTGCCAACCAGCTACGTCTGAGCAAGGAGTCCAAGTCCTCTTCATGCATGGCCTTTGGTTGGTGCATCAGTCTCTGCAGGATACTCTGGGCTCAGATTTTTTAGCTTTGTTGGTCTCTTTGTGGGACTCCAGTCCCCTCTGTGTCCTTCTATCCCTTCTTCTTCCAAAAGACTCCCTGCACTCTGCCCAAAGTTGGCTGTGAGTCTCAGCATCTGCTTTGATCTCCTGTTGAGTAGAGCCTTTGAGAGGACACTGTTTTCTCTTCCACCAATTCTGGTGTCTATCCTGTTTGCCATTCTGAATGAGATTTAAACATCTTCCCTAGGGTCCTGCTTGTTGTTTAGCTTCTTTAGGTCTGTAGATTTTTAGTATTACTTTCCTATATTATATGACTTATATCCACTTATAAATGAGTGTGTATAATGAATGTCTTTCTGGTTCTGGTTAACCTCACTCGGGATAATCTTTCCCAGTTCCATCCACTTGCCTGCAAATTTCATGATTTCTTTGTTTTTAATAGCTGAGTAGTATTCCATTGTGTAAATGTCACACAATTTCTGTATCCATTCCTCAGTTAAGGGAAATCTAGGTTGTTTCCAGATTCTGGCTATAACAAATAAAGCTTCTATGAATATAGTTGAGCAAATATCCTTATTGAATGGTGGGGCATCTTTTGGGTATATGTCCAGGAGTGGTATGGCTGGATCCTGAGGTAGCGCTATTCCCAATTTTTTGAGAAAGTGGCAGATTGATTTCCTAAGTAGTTGAACAAATTTTCACTCTCACCAGCCATGGAGGAGTATTCCCCTTTCTCCACATCCTCTCCAGCATGTGTTGTCACTTGAGTTTTTGATCTTAGCCATTCTGACAGGTGTAAGGTGAAATCTCAGAGTTGTTTTGATTTGCATTTCCCTGATGACTAAAGATGGTGAGCAAGTGTTTCTCTGCCTTTCAATATTC